TTAACTATATCACATTTTTTTTTCTTTTATCAGGCATGGGCCCAACTTGTAATCTTGCACACAAGCTCAATGATTTAAAAAAATGTCTCTTGTAGTAATTAATCACTCAGAAGAGAATCCAAAGACTGGATATGACAGCCAGGGTATCCATGGGCTACAAAACAAGTAAGCAACGGCAGAGCACATATATCTGTTATGACAGGTTCCCTTTAAGCAGTGTTGCTAAAGCTACCATAGACTGCAGAAATAAAAAATATTCTGTCAACTAATGACTTTGCCGTCTCCAACAGTCTTAAAGGCATTATGCAAATATAAAAGTCATAAAGGGGCACCATTTGGGTGACAGAACTGAGTTTGATAAATGGTGCTGATCTAGAAATATCATGTAGTACATTTATGGAAATGTGTATGTTGCATCTTAATGTAATAAAGTGGATCATGGTGAATACAATACATATAGGGTAAGAGACACGTGAATATCTGTTAACAAGTTTAAAAGACAACTCTTGTGCAGCAATGTGAAGAAATATCAGGAATAAATGCCTCTTTCCACTAGGTTACAATATATCTTAATAATGCAGGCTGTGAGCTCTGGTGAGGAAATACAGTTAGGGAATGGAAACAGCTTTATTACCATTCTCCACCAGGCAGTGAGGAGGATAATACACACCCCAGACAGTACAATAACAAAGTGATGATGCTCATAGCAAAAACCAGCACAGCCACATGGAATTGGCTTTAAATAAATAGAATTTTGTGCTCAAGTTGCTAGATATATGTCCTATTATTTTAAAAACAGGATTTTGTTAATTTAAATATGTTGCAGCACTATGTTCTGTTGCTATTGAGAGACAAAGGAAACATTATTTTTTTTTAAGTTCATTTTTCTGTGTTTTCTGAATACTGTTAAATGTGATCTTTGGAGTTTCTATGTATCCTGGTTTTATACAAAGACTCTACCAATATCACATGTGCCCAAAATGTTCATAGATATATATGTATGTGATGTATATGTATATTTTGTTAAAAAGTTAACTTTATTGCAAATATTAAAAATCTCTACAAGATATGATAAAAAGCGCACTAAGCACCAAATGTAGGCATGGACCGTCACATATATCATTCATGAAAATATCTAGAAATTTACAAAGACTCTACCAATATCACATGTGCCCAAAATGTTCATAGATATATATGTATGTGATGTATATGTATATTTTGTTAAATAGTTAACTTTATTGCAAATATTAAAAATCTCTACAAGATATGATAAAAAGAGCACTAAGCACCAAACGTAGGCATGGACCGTCACATATCACATCATTCATGAAAATATCTAGAAATCAATATACTAAGCACCAAACGTAGAACGTTTGTATAAAGTTATGTGTAGGCTTGTATACCTTCTGACATAATTAAGACAATTTAATGTCCAGACATTGTATATTCCACATGATCCATTTTTAAATTCTTCAATCTTTGTATACTTATGCTATATTGTTACAGATTCCAAGGCTGTATAATTCATTGTACTGTATATAGTGCCACTAATTGTTTAACAATCATGCTGGTCCATATTAGAAAACCAAAAAAGACTTCCAGTAATGCTAAGCCCACATTTTGGCTGGATATCCATCAGTAGTCAGTGGTAACCAGTCGATAAACAGACAGGCATACATTTCAGTAAAACCTGGTAAAATTGTAGCAGCAGCTATAGCACAAATGCTTCTTGATGGTTTTCAGATGACTCCCATTGATAGATAGGTAGCCTATAAATGCATATCTAGATATGTACATACATGGATATCTCATTAAAAGGATAATGAATGAGATAATATGCAGTGCACTGTGAGGACACAAACTATAGTAGGAGCAGAGGAGCAAACCAGATATAGAAATTCAGAAGCAAGCATAAACTGCTAGTACATGCCAAAGCAAGCAGGTTTATGCAGGTATTTGAATATGCCAAACACTGAATGACCCCTGACAGCAACCAGAGGTACCAATGTTTACCAGTTAATTTTAAATGTCTATTTTACTATAAGTCAACTCTTTGATCATCTTTATTAAAAAAAAAATACCCTAATAATTCAAGATAACTAAAGTTTCGGGCATATAAATATTAAAGTAAAAACACTCATATTATGGGTAGACTGGTTTCTCTTTAAAGGCTAAGTTCACCTATGAAACATTTTACATGTTCCACCCGTATTTAGGGTAGAACGTGTAAGGCCCCTTTCACACAAACGTACCGATTGGGTCCGCCTGTCTGTTTTTTAGGTGGACCCGATCTGAACTTCCATTCTCCTCTTTGGAGCTCCAGGTGTAAACCTGCCGACATCCAATTCCATTTGTTAAAAACAGACAGATGGGGATCTGTTCCCCTTCTGTCCAGTGGATCAGATTGGATGGTAGTGTGGTGTAAATGCATCCATAAGGAATAGCGGGTCGTGTCTTGAACGCAGACCCGTCATCCGCCTGCTCAGCAGGGGATCAGTGGTCAGATCCCCTGCTGAACCAGCGGATCACAGCCAGAGTCTGTACCATGTGAAAGGGGCCTAACATGTTCCAGTTCATGCCTCTTTTACCCCTGTAAATGAAAGAACTACAGGTTCCGTCAGATTACAGCGGAGTTCTACCCAAAAGTGGAAGTTCTGCTTTTCTGCCTCCTCCCCTCCTCTGCTGCCACATTTGGCACCTTTTGGGGGGGAGGTGGGAGCGGATACTTGATTTTGACACCAGGTACCTGCTCCCACGTCCGGCTCAGTTTGCTGTGGCGAACTTAGGTGAAAGTTCAGTCCCACCCCCCTGCAGCCCTCTGGAACATTTCCAAGGTCCCAGAGGACTGCGGCCCATTCACAAAGTGCAGAAACTGATGACTTCCCCTTAGTCAAAATGGCGGCTTCTGCACCCAACAGCGGATTGAAGAATGGACGGGTGAGTGCCCTAATATTAAAAGTCACCAGCTACAGTATTTGTAGATATTGTCTTTTAATTTTTTTTTTTTTTGGGGTGGGGGGCTGGGGGCTGGAACTCCGCTTTAGCTAAGAAGCAGAGCATGTGCACTTAAGCTAAATTCCCAAGGGAATGCAAGGGAAATGAAAATATAGGAAACCACATAACTAGGCAGTTGATATGAAGACACCTTCACTTTATTTACTATTAAAAACATTATCTGCATAGTTTCTGTGCAACCACTATTCATGTATATATTTAAATACAGTGCATGTATATACTTTTCAACAGGGATGTATATCAAAATTCCACATCAAAATGCTAGTTGTATGGCTTCTTACTCAAATATAATTGCATATCTCCTAGCAGATTAACATAAATTTTTTCTCCTATCTTTTTCCCCGACAAAATATTTTCAATCCCTCCTGTAGTAGCGATTGTAGTCAATTGTAAGGTGGTATAACACTCTCCTGACTTCACCATTTATCCTCCTCTAACCTGTAACATAACCCATTCCTTGTAATAGCCCAAGCTGTCCAATAAAAGTGACAATTACAATTACAAAAAGACAATTACAGTCTCAGCTGCTAAATGGCCAGAGCAATTGACAATCAACTAGCAGAAGGCACTGACTGCTGTAGATTGTATGAAAATTAGGTTTCAAGGTTGCCCCGAGAAAATTCAAGCAGCCTAGTGTCAAAGTTTCCTAGCAGCTACTAAAACCTCTGACCAGTGAGGTTTCAACCTGTAAAAAACCTTTGCAAGACCTACTCTAGACCAGTACTCCTGATTTACCTGTTACCAGTGCAGTACTAGAAAGTTAGCATTATAAAGGTGCCATATGCTCAAATGTCATTTAGTACCTCAAAACATCCATGTGACACCTAATACTCCCACTGCCTAACCTCGATTCAGAGGTCATATTCCAAACATAGCAAAGGTTAAGGTTAAAAGTTGTAATGGAAATACTGACATAGGGTTACAGGAGCTGAAGCTTCATGTTTCTAAAATGCACAAAACAGCTTCACAATGAAAACCTCCCAGTACAGTTAAGGTTGTAAGACCACCATACAAGCATCAGTAGCTACCTGCGCAATTGTTTAGATATTTTTATTGGGCACATATCAACACTTTCAGACAGTACTGAACGCTATTCTGCTCCCTTTCATTTTTATCACCAACTTTTTGGCCATCAAAGTCACCATAAAAATTTGTGGGACCTGAGATACTGAAGACATCTAAAAGGTACTGTATGTGCAGCAATGCCTTGTGGATGCATTATAGTGCTGTAGCCTGTTCTTTTATTTTAATCCAAACAGCTTTTATTGTCAAGATAACAGAGAAAATGGAACAGTACTTACAGAATCCACTATGATATTACTGCAACAGCAGGATTACACATAAATAGAACAATGTGGATACGCAGATTCCGTAATAAACATAATAACAGAAATGGTAATCAAAAAAAACAGAGACCACAAGGATCCAAAACTTTCTTGACAATATCTTGTTTTTTCCTTTTTATGTCTTATTCCTTCACGACCAGATGTAAACAGAAATGGGAGAAAGGAACAAAGCCCTAAACATGTCTTCCAACAATAAAAAAAAAACCACATCAACAACAACCTCTGGTTCATCCGAGACATCTCATCAAAAAGAATGGGAGATGCACATGAACTTTCCCAGGGGGAGGAGTGGAGTCACACACTTGATATAAAATGTTATACCTGCAGAAGTCGGTCCACTATCAATTGAGGAGGGGCGAGCCCAGGTGTATCCAGCCAACCCTGCCATGCCTGCTGGAACTTAGGGTAAGTATTGCAATGTTGGTACATGAGTTTCTCCCGTGGGCGTAAAGAACTAACATATTCTATCCATTGCTTACTAGTCGGAGGAGCAGATGATAACCAATACCTTGCTATCAACTTCCTAGCCAGATATAAAAGTCTAGATACCATAATATACCCTCCTGGTTGGAACAGTTCTTGGTCCAGTGCCCCCAGCAGTCAGTGCAAGGGATCCTGGGGAACAGTATATTGCGATATTAGAGAAATAAGTTGGAGAACCTCACTCCAATATCTATGTAACTTGAAACTATGCCAGAGCATATGAATGAAATCACCCTGTTGGACCCTACACCTTGGACAATCAGATGAATCCCCTGCCCCACCGATACAGTTGAACAGGGATCCTATATGCTCGATCGAGAAAAAACAATTGAGACAATTTATGAGAGGGAGAAAGAGAAATTCCTGGAACAGATTCCAGGGCAGCATCCCAGACATCTCCAGCAAACTCTTCAATACCCCGAGACCACTGCGCCCTGCTCCGGAGACTAGCTTGATCCTGTACTGTAGACAATAGCTGGGAGTATGCCCGAGAAATCATGCCCTTCTTATGAGTTGCCTGAGTGACATCCTTAAGAAAAACTAAGTTTGTCAATGTGAGATTAGAGAGCAAAGACTGAGCCTGTACCGCATGGCGTAGCTGAAGATAACAATAAAAATGCTTACTGTATGTGTAAATGTAAATTACATTTACAGCTTAGAAAAGGACTTTAGGATTGCCCCCGAATATAGCTGATATACAAATTTCAAGCCTCGATCCCTCCAGTTGTGAAAAACCTCCAGTTTAGCCAGTTCTACATATTGCTGATTATTCCACAAGGGAGTACAGAAACTGTAGCCTGTTCACTACTTTTAGTATATGGATACATTTTAAAAACTACTGTGAAAATAAACAAGTACCTGGTAATATTCCAATTATGTGATAATTATAACTTTGATTCTCCTACAGAGGATGATCAAAGGCACCCAGGATGTTTTCAAGGATCCTGTATAACTCACCTATTAGAGAAATATTCCACAGAAACCTTCTCCGACTGCTGTAAGAAGATCCAGGCTACCTGAGCCCTCTTCTGACACCAGAGAGGGGAAAGCCTATGAAGAACATTCTCGCTAACTGAAAATTTCCCTTAATTTGAGAGAGCAAGAAAAGTTGTTCAGAAAAATTAGCTTTCAATACCTTGAACTTTGGAAACAGATACAAAGCACAACATCTACCTTTTGCAAGAGCTGCCTAAAAAAAAAAAACGACGTTGTTGGAGAAAGTATAAAAACAAACCACATAATCCTGTCAATAAATAGGATGATAACAAAATGTAAAAACATCAGAAAGAGAACTGCTAATGTATTTTCAGCACTGTGCAGGAAGGAAAGCAAAGACAACCACAGACAAAACTATTTGCGCAAAGTTACAAAGTCAAGATAAAAAAATACCGGTACCTAATCTATTTTTATATTTTATTCTCTTCTATATATGTACAGTATATATACAGTATTCTGTTAATTACAAAATATTAAAAATAACTCCATGAGTTTTACTTGTAAAAATAAGATGGTATTTGTAAAACCGGTTATCTGGTAAAGTGTAAGACAGCAAGTACAGTATGTATTTTCATGGCTTCTTACATTTCCATTTAAGATAAAGAAAGCAAGTCCTTGAGGCAAATAAATTTAGTTCTTTACATCATGTTGTTTATGAAACATGTACTAAGGCTAGTTTTCACTGAGAATCTTTAAAGATTGGATGGGATGGATTCTCAAACCTGTGGACTAGATTTTGGGTTTTCCACAGGTTTCTTGATTACTGGAGCTGAGTGCAAACTAACAGCTGTTGAAGCACTCTCAGGACTAGATACGAGAAGCAAGTAAAATAGGTGTCCTTTTATGAAACTGAGATCAGTGGCGATCCTGAGGATTGTTGCTGATCTCCGATCATTAGTTGTTTAGGAAACAGAGATGATCAGCGGAGAACATGTTCTCCGCTGATCATCTCAGCACACAGCTGGCCAGTGTATGAAGGAGCAATCTTAGCCCTTCACTGGCCGTCTGTGTTCTCCCTGCAGATTCTCCAGCTCAGAGCTGGAGAATCGGAGGAACCGCAAACGAAGCAGCGATAATTTACCTCTGCTTAGTAAACGGTCTTTGACTGATCTCTTACTGTAATCTCGCGAGATTACAGTAACAGCAGACGTTTTCCAGCATTGAAAGCGTTTTAAGATCGCTTCTCCCTTCATTCAGAGAACTGATCTACACCGCTTCATAAAAGGCATTCAGAGGAGAACGGTCTTCTCCGAGAATGCCGGAGAACTGAGCAGCGGTAATTTACCGCTGCATGATAAAAGGACACCATAGTGCATTAATTCAACTATTTTACTTGCTCCACATACCAAATCCTAAGAGCTTGAACTACTACACGTTTGCTTTGTCATCTATGCGTACACTCACCAATGCATTTTATCCTTAATATATGCTTGTTTGTGTATGTCTGTATATAGACATATATTAGTGAATTTGCCCAAAAGAAAAGGAATAGGAAATTGGATACTGCCATGGGGGACATGTACCAATGGCAAATTTTAAATAAAAAAAAAAAGCATAGAGCAGGGAGAGGACATTTTCAGGTGAGTGTAAAGGCAGAAAGTTTTTTAGCTTACTGAATTTTATGCAGCAATGTAAAAAACCTTCTGCATGCAGCTTCCCCCCCCACAGCCCCCCCCCCCCACCCCAAATACATACCTGAACCAGATCTCGGTCCAGTGCTGTGCACGAGAGCCAAAGCTTCCTCAGATCTCTCACTCCTCATTGGCTAAGATACAACAGTGGAAGACATTGGCTTCTACTGCTGTCAATCAGAGCCAGTGACGAGGAGCAGTGGGTGGGGACGTGCCCCGTTCTATGTGTCTTATGGACACCCAGAGCAGGGCTTGGAAGTGAGCAAGCATGAGTGCCCCCCGAGTAGCTCAGAGCACCAACGAGGAACCACAGAAGAGGAAGACTGGGCTGCTCTGTGCAAAACCATTACACAGAGCAGGTAAGTATGATATGTTTGTTGTTTTAAGAAAAAAAAAAACTTTAATATCTATTTAAATTGTAGGTTTGGGGATGTGTTAAAGCTGTATATGGTGCTATGGAGCTCATCTTGCTGTGCTCATTTTCACCTGTAGGTTCATTGCCTGCTCTAAAAACGTGCTGCTTTAGGAGCTGGGATTGTATTTATAATCCCTGTATACCAGCCGCAATTTGTAAACAGCGATGGCAGACAAGCAGATAAACATTATGTGACTTGAGTAGGCATGGGTGCTTATACTTACACTAACATTTGATTTCAGCAACAAAAGACGTGCCTAAATGTCATACATTAGGCTGCTGGTACTGAAAATTAACATACCACATTACCTATTACTATGAAAACAGCCAATGTGTTTGGAAGGTAGAGACCAGGTTGGTGCTCTGCTAAAAATACACTGTCATAGTTTTTTTTACCTCCCAATATAGTAGATAGTGTACAATCATGCAATTAATCCTAATAAGAGCCATGTGTATCACTAAGTTAAAGATCTTCCATGCTACCCTGCCTCTGCAATGCAAGTAAATTTGTTGGAATGGCTCAGTTTTTATTGCATGGATGGGTTATATGTTCATGTAAGGTCAGAAACCTATGGACAGGCTTTGCCTACTAGGCTCCCGAGCTATGGAGATTCTGAGGGCACTATACAACATGAATGTAAGTGTAAGCAATCAGTTACCCCTGCCTGTCTTTTTTTTTTGAACAAACTCAAAAAAAGATTAAGATTTGCTTTGCTATAGAAAAACGTCTAGAAATGTGCCTAAGAATTACCATAAAAATGTACCTATTGTCCTGCATTCTTTCTGGAAAATTTCCTATTTCCTATGTTTTCACGCTCATAACTGATCTCACACTGCAGATACAAAGCTAAGGAATTGCTGTCTGTAACTGCTAGTTCAAAGAGATGGAGTGAGGTTGGAATATGTCACTCTACTGCTCATTGTTATCTTTGCTGAAGCTAAATCTGTACCTGAAGACCTGAAGTGGAAGGATCTTCCTGCTTCTGCTTTAATCATTCTGTGGATCTGTGCTTCCTTCATCTCTCCTGCTTGATTAGACAGGCAGCTTTTACATTAGAAAAACTCTGCTAAGATGATCACTTCTATACATATAGAAGAAGAAATAGTAAATTAGCAGAAATTAAGGGGTGCCATAGGTAATAGTGGTGATTTGTTATTTGTACTCTACTTGATGTTTTTGAGGCACAAATTTCATAGCTCAGATCCTCTACAAGTACAGGTTCACTTTTCCTGCTTTAAGTATGGATTCACTTTTAGAAATAGTGTTCATAAATATGAATGTTAATCTATAGAACTCTGCATTTAATAATGTAATTAGTAACAGCATGTATATCCAAGCCTGGACATGTGCCAATATTTTATCAGCCAAAGAAATCCAAAAAGTTCCAGATACTATGGAATTGCTGGCACAGATTCCAGTCAACTGATCATTTCCCTTTCCAATGCTTCCACTCTCAAATCAATGTCCTGCTATGTAATCCATATTGTATAGCTTTCAGTTTCCAATATAATGTACATAACTGACATAATTGTTATCCATTGTTCATGTAGGAAATGTTTTTCTTCCCAGAGATGGCCAGTTTAAAATTACTTAACCAACGTACACCTTTACGTTAGTAAGTAGATAATACATAAGAAGAACTTCAGTTGAAATATAGCTTTACTGGTTTTAAAAAGTCAATATTTGCATAGATTTAGATGTCCCCTGATCCTCAGGCAATAATGCTCATGCCTGCCAACAGTTCGCTCAGGCTATGAGCTATACATTGTATGATAGGAGCTAGGTGCCTGAGAAACAATAGTAAACTTTTAAACAGAGGAACACTTGCCTAATAATCCCTAATTCTGACCTGGATTAGTAGCAGCTCCTCCATATCAGGACATATGGTCTCAGGCCCTCTCTCTCTAGTTACTGCTTCCCTCTGGGGTTTCTAACCCAGCCACACAGAGACGGAAAGTGATGTAATTAAAAAACTGTCACATTAAGCAGCAAAGCCACTTACAAACACATACAGCAGAAGGCAGCATATTCATATAAGTGTCACAGAAGAAATAAATGTGCTGGGATCTTCACTAAGTTTACAAACTTTAAGATCATTCAGGTTATTAGTAGTAAGATAGAAATATTTGAAACACTGGAATTGAAAGAACTGAATATTTGATTTTAAATTTTGACCATAAATATGCTAGGAGTCTTTCACATGGGTGAACAAAAAAACCCAAAACAACACTATATTTGTAGTCGTGCAGTGTTTTATAGATCTGAAAACAGGTGCATTGTTGGCTATGGAACAATGCACACATCTGTGTATAGATCAGTAAAGCAGTGATGAGTTCAGAGCCTATGTCACAAGATTTACAGGGCACAATAGGCTAAAAAGAAAACACAGCAGAAGCTGTCCATTTATGGAGTATGTTGAGCTTAAATTTTTGGACACAGCCATTTTAGTTCAGTTTAAAGCAACTGTGTCATAATAAATGTAATATGGGGCTCCCTGTTAAAAAGATGTTAGTTACTCTCCTCTGCTGCTGTCCATGCTGCTGATTACTGTAGTAAGGAGAAATAGCCCTATGTTGTGTTCTCTGCACAATGCTGCAGAGAACTG